GTTGACCAGGCTGGCCTTGAACTCACAGAGATCCGCCTGCCTCTGCCTCCTAAGTGCTGGAACTACAGGCGTGCGCCACCACGCCCGGCTAAAGATACTCTTTTTATACTGAGAGAAATATACATTTAAATTATACAGAAATACTGTTTTTCACCTATCAGATTGGCAGAATCTAAAAGATTGACTGACTTAGAGTAAAATAAATACTTTGATCCAGTATGTTGGGAACTTAGCTAGTGTTGTATAAACTTTGAAAGAGCCATTTGGGAGCCTGGAGAGAGGACTCTGGTTAAAAGCACGTGTTGTTCTTGGAGAGGACCCAGGTTTGGTTCCCAGCACCCTTCTTAACTCCAGTTTCAGGGGATCTTATTACTTTTCCTAGCCTCTCTGGGTACTACATGCATATGGTGTACTTTTAAATACATGCAAGTAAAACACTCATACACATAAAGTTTAAAAAATAAAAATAGCCATTTGGCAACATTTAGCGAAATTACTCTGCTTTTACTCTTTGGTCCCACACTCCCATTATAAAGCACTTTTTGTAACAGCAGACATCTGGAAATAACTTGAGCATTTGTGAGAAGGTACTGATTTAATAAATTGGTTTATCCTTCCAGTGGAATGTAATGTGACTGTTGAATGAGGAAGGTGTGTTATTGTTCAAGGTTGTGATCTCTAGACATGTTACAGAATAATGTATTTTACTATATTACCTTGTGAATAAGAAAAGGAGGGAGATAAAATCATTACCTACTTACTTAAGTTTCCAAAAAAAAAAAGGCAGGAAAAAGAGCTAGTAAAATTACATGGAGGAAGAAGAACAGAAAAGAACAGAAGTGGACTCTGTTGGTTACTTTGTTATATATCTGGGAATCAATTTAAACATTTTATATAAAAATGGCTAAAGCAAAATTATTCATAAAAATTAAGCTCAGGACCTGGGGTTGTCTTTCAGTAGTAGAGGGTTTACCTAGCCTTGTGTGACCTTTGGTTCCATCTCCAGCACTACAAAAATAAAAACTACAGTCTTTGATGTTGGCAATCTCAGTAGAATTACTTGTTTTTCTAAAAGTGCTAATTTTATAGCCCTGTTGCTGGAAAGACTTAGAAGCAATAAATCACCTAGTATGGGCTTTTCATAAATACCTTTTCCCATGAAGAGACAGAACTCTTACTCTACCTAGTTCTAAAGTAGAGAAGTAAAAGATTAGCTTCGGAGATCCTTTGCTAGGAAGTATAAAAGTATCAGAGATTAATAGAGCCTTGTTAAAAAGGCATAGAATTCAACTTGAAGGACCTTTCACTGATTGAAATGGGACAAATAAAATAATTTGTGATTACAGTGGCTTGAAACAGACAAAATACATACAAATCTGTGAATTTGCAATGATAGTGTAGAAAATGTTAAAATATTAGTTGGTTGTTTTAGGTGGGTGTGCAAACACATTCTAAAAATTGAAAAAGAGGTAGAAAAAAGCCAACTGTTTTTTCCCTTATCTTCCCTATGTAAACGTTGAGGGATGGTTCTTGTATGTTGAGAGAGTTTTCCTCTCTTAATAAAATTTCAATTAATAAATGTAGAAAAAATGATAAAATGTACTTTGCAAGCCTGAATGCATTTTTTGGTTATTAAAACCATTAAATGAAATATTTCTGGGGAAACATAATAAAGGGGTAAGGACTGTAGCTACTAATAGTCTTAACATTAGTGAAAGTGGTCACTTCGTTCTTAGGTTTATGTGTCTGCCCATGTGATACATGGAATAAAGAGCAGGCTTGACTAAGAACACCACAAAACAATAAAACCTCTGTCTGAATCTAATCAGCCCTCTAGTTTACCTAAAGTAAGAGGAACATGTTTAAAAATATAAGCCTTCGTCCCCCCCCCCTTCCCCAAATTCTCTAAGTGTAATTAGGCAAAATACAGAAGGAATGAAATTCTTTAGAAAAATGGTTCCTTTTCTAAAAAAGCCAGAAGAGGGCATTGGATTTC